AAGTGCCTTGTGCGCGTCGCCCTCTCTTATATCTCTTGCATGCTCTCCCGGGGTGTCCTCAAGTTCGCGCCCTCCCCAGTACCTTCGCGACGAGGTCCCCGCGCTTGCGTCCAGACGCCCGCCGACCCGCTTGCGCCTGGCCGAGGACGTGGACGCGTCTGCTCGCCGACGAGGCCCGCGCCGTCGGGCTGCTGGTGCGCGCCCTCGAGGGCAAGCACGGCGTCGTGGCGCGGAGCCTCGAGCTGCGGGCTGCCGAGGTCGGGCTCGCGGCGCGCAGGGCCGAGGTCGAGGCGCGCATGGTCGCCAGGGCTGTCGAGGGCGACGTGTACACGCCCGAGACGGTGTCTGCGCTGACCAACTACGGTGTCCATCTGCGAGATGCGAGGGTCAGGGTCGAGGAGAGCATTCGCCGGCTCGAGATGGAGCTCGAGGGTTATGGCGTGGGCGCGCAGAGGGGACAGGCGCAGGCGCAGGAGGGACGGATGAGGGAGATGGCGAGGGTGTACAGGGCCATGGAGAGGGAGATTGACGAGGTGAAGAAGGATCTCAAGAGGCTGGGGAGGTGAAGGGCCCGTCTTGGGTCTTGATGTTACGACGAAACATGAAGTATGAAGCATGAAATCATGAAGCATAGCGAGCCACCATGAGGATGCAATGTCGTCAAGAGAATCATGGTGTTATACAGAATCAGCGCTGCCAGTCTACTGCCGCGGGCGTCATCGCTCGCTTGTCATCTAGTCTGCCGCCCACCGCCTCCCCGGCCCATATCCAGGCACCATGGCCGCTCCCAATTTTTACACCTGTGCCCCCGCCCCTCAAAGCCCACTTAACCCTTGACCTTGAAGATGGCCTCGGCGAGGCGGCCGACGTTGTCGCTGGTGATGCCAGCAACGGAGATACGGCCGTCCTTGGTGGCGTAGACGCTGTGCTCCTTGGCGAGGGAGTCCATCTGCTCGGGCGTCAGGCCCGTGTAGGCGAACATGCCGATCTGGCTGGTGATGTGGCTCCAGTCATGCTTGCTGCCGAGCTTCTCAAGGTTCTCCTTGAGCAGGGCGCGCATGGTGATGATGCGGTCGGCCATCTCCTTGACCTCGCCGAGCCACTGCTTGTAGAGGGCAGGGTTGGTGAGGATCTCGGCGGCGACACGGGCACCGTGGATGGGAGGGTTCGAGTACATGGGGCGCACGACAATCTTGATCTGGCTGTCGACGCGCTTGGCCTCGGCAGCGTCGTTGGCGACGATGCTGAAGGCGCCGACACGCTCACCATAGAGACCCATGTTCTTGGCGAAGGACTGGGCAAGGCAGAGGTCGTGGCCCTCGGCGACAAAGTGGCGCAGGGCAAAGGCGTCCTTGTCGGTGGAGCCCGAGGCGAAGCCCTGGTAGGCCATGTCGAAGAAGGAGAAGTGGCCGCTGGCCTTGACAACAGCCGAGATCTCCTTCCACTGCTCCTGCGTGGGGTCAACACCGGTGGGGTTGTGGGCGCAGGCGTGGAAGAGGAAGACGGAGCCCTTGGGGGCGGCCTTGATGTCGGCGATCATGCCCTCGAAATCGAGGCCGATGGTGTCGCGGTTGTAATAGCGGTACTGCTCAACCTGAAGGCCGGCGTCGGAGAAGACGGCCTTGTGGTTGGCCCACGAGGGCGTGGGGATGTAGATCTTCTTCTCGCCAGGGAAGAAGCGCTTGAGGAATTCGGCGCCGATGCGCAGGGCGCCCGTGCCGGAGATGGACTGAGTGATGGCGAGACGCGACAGGGCGGACGAGTCGGCACCGTAGGCGAGCTCGGCGGCGGCCTTGGTGAAGTCAGGCACACCAGTGATGCCGGCGTACTCCTTGTTCAACTTGGCGTCGACAACCTTCTGCTCGGCAGTGCGCACCGAGGGGAGGACGTACGGCTTGCCCTTGTCGTCACGGTAGGCACCGACACCTGGTGTGGGTTTAGGTCAGCACGACGTGACGATCGGATATGACAGGCGATGGCAAAGAAGACATACCGAGGTTGATCTTCTTGTCGAACGTGTCGGCCTTGAAGGCTTCGGTGATACCTGGGCAAGAACGTTAGCTGCGATGCATGTAGACTGAGGGCATCAATGACGTACCGAGAATGGCCTTTCGGAGGGAGGCTCGGATCAGCTGGAAGTTCGATCTAAAAAGGCATTGGCAATTATTGACTTACATCCTGACGAACAATTAGCATCATGACATCTCCGAGAGACAAGCTTCAAGTGTACTTACAGGAGGGCCCTGGGCAACGTTGGCCCAGGTCGAGCCGGCGCGGGCGACATTGAGCGGGAGGGCCGATGCGCGGCGCAGGCCGGCTTGCCTGGTGGCGATTCGCAGAGAAGAGAGCATTGTGATGGTGGAGGATCAAACGAACAAAGAGCGCTTGAAGGAGGGAAGGGAAGACTAGCAGAGAGGGGGTTGGAGAGGGAGAAGATATTAAAAGTCAGGGACGACTTTCGAGATGTGGTCTGACTCGAAGGGGGAAAGTATGGTAGTGGTCCGGGTCTCGACTGACTGTTTTGCTGGCGAGGCTTGCTAGCTGCTGGGCAGTCGGCACCTGCTGTATACCTAGGTACCTCTTAGGTAGGGACCTTCGTACATAGTACATAGTACATAGTAGTCATACCGGCTGGGGAGACAGCTCTATGCGCCCGATTGCGGAAGGTGATTGGCACGCTTTTGAGAAAAATACAGCGGGCCCCCAGCGACTGTGCACCTCGCGCGCGTCCTGCGCCCTGGCCCCAGGGTTACCAGTGGGTGGACCTGCGGAGAGCTGTCGAATGGCGTCACGTCTTACAATGGGGTCCCGGGGTGGAATCCGCAAGCTCGGGATGTCACGTGCTGTTCGTGCTCGTGCTCGTGCTCGTGCTGCTCGGCTTGTGATTGAGGTTGCACGCGATGGGTCCGATGTCAATGGGAATGACAGCTGTCCATGACTCCAGATTGACATGAGAGTCAGGAATCGAGTTCATCAACTTCGCCGGTGACTAGTTCTTGGCCTTTCTTCGAAGAAGTTACCTGCGATTGAAGGAGCTCAGTCATTCGGAGGTGTCAAGGCCGGGAACTCACGATCCTGGGACCATCCTGTTCCATCGCCTGCCTCTCCACGCCGATGACTCTATCTCGACGTTCAAGCCCCAGGTCATCTCGGACAGGCTCGGAATTGACACCTCAATGTGACTGTGTCACGCCGCTATTGCGTTCATCATGGAAGCCCGCCGACTATGTGTATTGTACTGCTCAATTGGATATCGTGTCAACGTCTCGGCTGTTGGTAAAACCCAGCAGACAGAAAACCCAGCTGGGCATTGGGCTTTTCGTCCACAAGAAAATGTGCTAACATCGACGTTGAGTACCTATACAAAAGATATCCCTTGCCAAGGATCTGAGACAATATGTGTAGGACAGACGGTCCACAACCCCTGGCTATATCAATTGACAATGACCTTCACCTGCAGGCGTCCATTCAGTGCAATATTTTGGTTGATATGACAATGGCCTGTACAGGATGGCCCTATGTTTCTTTACCATCTCCTTCCTCTCAATTTTCAGTTTCCCAAATGATGATGTGCCGCAGCAAGACAACTATCTGGCGATGCCTGACTTCGTTAATAGCCAAAGTGACACACAGGTAACAGCGGCGAAAAGAAATGAAAGCGACGTGCCTCATGAGTCCATGTTCCGTCAATAAGAAAGTCAAGCCAAATCGACGTTTGACTTTGGTGGGAGCTCTGTCAAGGAACGCCTCTGATTGCATCTTTGAACCTGTCGCTCTCCTCCTGACCTGTTCGGGAGCAAGCCGAGATGCATCGCGCTCGTTTCCTCAGACGACAACCACATTTTGAAGAAGAAGAAAAGGCTCTTGGAAGAAACATCCACTCAAAAAAATCATCTCTCTCATCAACTCAATCATAGATCTCAGCCATTCCCATAGTTTTGCCTTCGTCGGCGCAGGCATCACCACCCCCAGCATCGCCCGACGGAAAATGACCTTCGACCCCGCCCGTACAAACACCTCGCTGTCTTTCCCACCAGACTTCTGATCAAATGCTTCTGCTCTCGAACAGTTCACTCGAGCAGTTCGCCCGATATGGCTGGTGCGACTTGCTGGAGGTGTTTCGGACGTAAGGCGCATGGTCAAAGAAGTCAGTGCATCGCACCGATCCGAAACGACGGGGACCACGACAATACCCTCACCCCGAATCAGAACTCGGGTTCTCACCACTTTTGCCAAAAAAAAAAAAAAGAAAAAAGAAAACCACCCGAGTACAAATCTCGACATCATAATACTTGTAGGTATGCGCGCCTCGTGGTGCCTGGTCGACCATGCGAATCTTTGTTCTCCTGGCGACAGCGACCCTCGCACTCGCCAGGTCTCCATCTCTCACCCCTCGCGCCGTCGAGACGGGCGAATTCGACGCCGAAAGCCTCGCAAGGCTGGAGACGCTCAACCAGGTCAACGTCAGCGATCCAGCTATCGCGGCCTCCATCGTCAGCAACGAGCTCACGCTGGGCGGCTGCCGGGATGTCATTTTCGTCTTCGCCCGCGGCACGTCAGAGCAGGGCAACATGGTGCAGACCTTCTTCATCCCCGGTCGTCCTTCGTCGCCATGAAGTTCTCCCACTGACTAGATATAGGGCACACTGGTTGGGCCGCCCCTGTCAGGTGGCCTTAAGTCCATATACGGCGACTCCCGCGTAGCGACAGAAGGCGTCAACTACGCTGCCATTCCTGCGCCCAATTTCCTACCCGGCGGCACGGACGGGCCCAGCATAGCAGCCATGAGCAGCATCCTCCTCGGTGCGGCGATGAATTGTCCCGCCTCCAAGGTCGTCGTCGGCGGCTACAGGTGAGCCCTCCTCCTTGTTCCCAGTTCCGTTCGTTCTTGGCCAACAGTATCAAAGCCAAGGCGCAGCGGTCGCGCACAGGTCCATAGAAAGCCTCCCGCCCGTGGCCAAGAACCAGATAGTTGGTGTCTTAACGGTTGGCGACACCCAGAAGACGCAGGACGGGAGTCGTATATTCAACTTTCCGCCTGACAGAGTGTCGTTTCTGTGCAATCCGGGAGATGTCATTTGCGATGGGCAGCTGGTAGTGCTGGCCCCGCACCTGGACTATACACGCCGTGCTGGCGAGGGCGTCGGGTTTCTGGCATCGAAGATCGGTATATTGTAGCGAGGAAACGATGGGGACGGCTGGCAGTGTTTCGTCGCCCGTGTGCTTTTTGCAACTCCATTGTGGGAGTATTCACTACAAGGGTAGGTTGCCTCGTCAGCCACAGGGCTATGGTCCATTGAATAGTCTCGATAACTCTTAGAATGGGTTCCTTGCAACCGACCTGCTCTTTTGGTCTTCCTGATGTTGTTTGAAGAGAACGACTGCTATGTCCCTCATCTAGAGCACCACCGTCCAACCTTTCGAGTCGTTCGGGTGAGCACCATGACTTGTCCTGCTATTGCACGGGCTCCTTACAACTAAACCGTCTTCCATGTTTCTTGCGCCACTGAGTTCGTTGGCAGCGCTCATCAAATGAGTAGTGTAAGTTAACTTGCAACCACTGCGCAAGGCCCATTGACCAGGTTCGGATTCAAGAGGCCCAGACCACACATCGGCACATTCACCGGCAACCTGCCTTCTGTGGCCAAAGGGAAAGCACAGAGTTTTCCCCATCTGACTGGAAACCAGCAGTAGTGCCATTCACTAAGGGGGGTTGCTGCATCAGTCCCTTCAGCATAACAAATAAGTTCGTCTTCAGCCTCACGCCAGCTGACAGCCCCTCAAAGTGAGCCAAACGAAAGGAGAACACACGAATAGCGCCAGCCATATCACCACCATACATGTACATCGCCATGGGTGCGATTCTATGGCAATCATGGGCGACTCTTGCCTTCTGCATCGTTGCGGCGCGGCTTCTTGCCCGGATGTTCACGCCAGCGGATCAAGAGGATCGTGAAAGTATTTTGCCAGCTCGCTTCCACGAACGAATCAGAGGCGTCCCAAACATTCGGGAATGGCGTATTGAAAATCCTGCATCAACGCCGACTAACGTCGGACGCTTTGAAGAAGACCCGGAGCCGATATCCGTTTCGGAAGGAGACCCGGACGATGAGGTCGTGTCCCAACCGCGGCATGACGAAAACAGATCGGAGTCTCCGGATGATGCTACGAAGGCAAAGGCGTATCGCATGCCGTGGGCCCAATTCCGCGGATCGTGGTTGAGTCGTACAGCTGAGCTTCGCAACGTCAGTCCGACTCGCGTCATAAGCTTAAGATGCCGTTCAGAGCGCAGAAGCTAGAGGGATGAAGCCGAAAAGTTCCCGAGATCAATAAGCTGTGTCATCACGGCCAGCACAGGGCAGAACCAGGGCTAACAACTTTTTTGGCCAGAGGACCACAATGAAAACCTGTGCGAGCGGCGGTCTCGAACGGTTGCTCCGACGAGCCCAGAGACCACCGAGTCAAGTAGAGCGCAAAACCCCCACACCATCAAAGCGGGTGACAAGGGACAGCGTCCGTTTAGTGTCCCGTCATGGTTTTCAACACAGACTGCGCTATTGACGCTGGCGCATCTCTGGGCCTGGCTGGAGGTGACGGTCCACGCTGTACTGAGCTTTATCCCCGGACAGGGCGGCGACGGCCGCTTGCTGACTGAGCGTCGCGTGGCCGCTTATGCAGGGGCTAGCAGGATTTCCCGGGACGACCGATACCTGTGTCATCCAGCCGCGCGGGACAGCATTTGTCCTCCGACCGCCGTTTGTCTTGAATGGTGATACAGAGCGGAGGGGAGCCTGGGGATTGGGACCATGACCTCAGAGCACAGGAAGGAATCGGACCCCGGATCGTTTGGTCCAAGTCCCAGAGAGCTTAGGGAGTATGGTGGTGCAGCACGGGGAGGGTGGCGCCATGAGCCTAGAGCATTTGCTAACCCAATAAGTTGTTTTGTTTGCTGGTCATGCATCGTGACGGGCGGCTGAGTTGTGAAGGTTGGTTGCGTTGACAACGCCACATGCAAGATGGTGGTCACGCTCGGACGTCTTACGAAAGAAAGGACGCAACGGGACGTGACGATTCCGTGCGGGGGAAGGAATCCTCGACGGGGGACAGTTGTGAAAGGGAGCTAAACAGCGAGATCCCGGCCACATAAGATGCGATACGGGAGCTGCCACACGTCCTGGCCATGGCCATGATTCCGGTCCTGGTCAAGCGAAGCCTGCCGTGCCTATATCAGAGACGGGACAAGACACCATTGACGATCACCGTTTCGTGGCGCCGAGCAATCCGAGGTGGGATCGCGACGCTGGGTGATGAGAGGGGGCTGGACTCACAGACGCTGAGAACGCTGGACTCAAGATCGGGTGGAGGTGTTACAAAATGGGCCAGCCTTAGCTGCAGCGACTTGCATCAGCAGCGATTTCTGTGACGGCGAACAGGACCAGACCAGAGAGCCATCCACGCTACCGAGTTTTCCATGCAGGTACGAGTTCGTGGTCGGCGTGGCATGCGTGGCTTGCACTGCATGTCGCTCGGCTACGCACCGTAGTGCGAACCAGCAGAGGAATGCTAACAGCAATGAACAGGGCAGCGTCGCATAGAAGTTGGGACGCCGGCGGTTTAGCAGATAAAGGCCACCCGTGGTTATCCCTGCTCCTGACATTTGTCTGTGAGATTGGCGATGTTTCCACCCGCAACGCCTTGACCATAGTCAGCGCCAAACCCCGAAGACTTGTGCCGGCCTTCTCGTTTTCCCTCCTAGACCCCGTGCTAGAGACAACGGATGTCGATCACAGAACGGGCATGATCCCTCGGGGGATTTTAAGGCCGAAGATGGTCGACAATGACATTACAGGAGTCATGGTACGCCACAGTCGCTTGTGATTGTTGGGAATGCACCTGACTTTGGCCGACGAAAGGGGAAGTTGGAAAGGCGCAAGCCAGCCACAATGATTAACCGACTGCCGGACTGGTGTAAGTAATCAATCCCAGCACCCTTCCATCGGTAGGCTCGCCCACGGCACGGCTGCGCGTCTGCACATGACCACTGCCATTTTGTCCGAAGGGTACACTGGGCCAGGGGTTCAGGAGCCAGGTGCAGCCAGGAGGAGGGGGGTCTAGCTCAGGAGAGATATCGATCCTGCAGATGGTGTGGTCACCATGCGTCTGGCTACCCACTGAGATGCAGCAGCATGCCTGAATTACCCCTTGAGTTCGTCCACGGAGCGAGAGTCATGCCGCCGAGGCAATTGTCGTCGATAGTGGTTGTGCCTTTGGTCCTGCTCTTGTGGTGCGGTCGCAGGACAGGGGTCGATTGGTCCCTGGTGGTCCGTCGACGGGCTGGCGAGGCTCTGGTGCGGTGCTGTGGGCACACGATGCGAGGATTCGGAGCTTCTACGGTTACACCCGGCCAGTGTTCGATGCCCGCAGCTGATTGTGAGGCGATGGGCGCAAGGCACATGGCATGGAGGCGCTCCAACAGAGACAATGGGCGGCGAGGATGACAACGACAGCCAGCGAAATCTGCGTCATTGAAGCCGGTGAAGAAGAAGAAGCATGGCTGGATGTTGGATGGATGGGGATGGGGAAGGGAGGCGGGCTCTGTGGCGGTCTGAAACTGTGTTACCCAGAATACACACCTAGGTACCCAAGGTACCTAAGGTATGGTGAGCAAGGCATCTCGAGAGCGGACGGCAGGGTGGAGGAGGGGGAAAGGGGAGAGAGGGGGAGCCACAAGCAGATGGCGTGCAAGGTGATCTCAAACAAGACAAAGAGAGACGCTCGGAGACGCAGGTGAGCTGGAGAGGCAAGTCTGACAGAAGCAACATCAAGACAGCGGTGAAGATGGAGAGATGTGACAAATGTTTCCCATTCGCCTGGCACGCTGTGAACTGTGCGCTGTGAGCTGTGTGAGCTGTGAGCTGTGTGAGCTGTGCCGCCGCCTCCCGATCCACCGCGGCTTCTGGCTGAAGATGGCAGCAGCAATGGACCTAGGCAACCTACCTACCGGAAGGTAAGGTAGGTAGGTGCCTAGGCAAGTTCCTGCCTGGTAATAATAAGCAAGTTCCACGAAATGGAAATTCGACTCGTAGCTGCCACCTGCTAGTCCGCCACTTGTGTCCATCCGTGGACGGTCCTTCTCTGCTTGCAGGAAAAGCGGGCAATAGCGATCGGGCACAGTGGATCTCGCGGTGCCTGAATACAGGGGCCCCCCGGAAGCACTTTCCCCCCAAGACCCCCCCAATTCAACCAAATGCGGGCAAGTGTGCTGGAGTATCAAGAGGCAACAGCCGGGGGGCTAGTCGTGGCTTCTGGCTTCGCAATCAAATCAAAAAGAACAATAATACCAATCCGACACTGCAAGCAGAGGGAAGAGGTACCTGAGGTAAGGTACTTCATTAGCCCGGCGACTTTAACGAACACTCGGCCGACCTGGCCGCTCCTCACATTTCCTTCCCTCCCCGTCGTCTCTTTGGTAGACAACTTCGTCCCCATCATCCACCTTGTCGTCGTCGGCCTCTCTCTTCCGCACTGCCAACCTCGACATCTGCTACTGCAGCCCGCATCCAGCAGCGCGCCTCGTCCCCCCCTCCACACGACGTCAAGCCCATCGAACCACACACAACCCCCCTCACTGGGCCTTTGTCGCCGCCCGCCGCCCTTGCTGCTCGCTCGTCCGCACACTCAAGAAGCCCCGGAGGCTGTCGAGTTTCTCTTCGCCACTTTCGCTCCCTTGGTCTGTTCATACATAGCCAATCAGCCCGACGGTTGCTTTTGTTCGCTGTCTGCGGAATTCCTCAGCATTCAGAATGCCGATTTAATCTTAATTTGCGATCCTTGAACCCCCTTCCTCACGACGACTCCTTTTCGCCCTCCATCACCACGACGACGACCTCCCGGAACTTCAAAATTCGATCAACATGGATTCCTGCGAGGGAGTCCTGTTGATTCCTCCCGAGAGAGGTCAAATTCTCGGTCGTGCAGTCTGGAAGGTGTGTTGAACCCTGCCCAGTCTCTCTCTCTCTCCCTCCCTTGGAAGTGCCCTGCTAACCGAGTCCTCACAGCCGCGATATGTCGTCGTAGGCCGCCGCAACGCCCATAAGCAAGACAAACTCGAACAACAGCCCAGTCCGAGCCTCGCGCAGGTCATGACGACCAGTCGCATTACCAATTCCCCCTCCTCCTCCTCCTCGAAAACCCTCTCTAAGCCACTGCCCACCGAGGATCCTTGCATATCTGTTTACAAGTCCAAGGTAAGGCTCACGGCATCGGAGTACTCGGGCCATAACCTAAGTTCTCCAAACTTGCAGGATGACTGGGAGCCCACCCACCAGTACCCTATCAGCGCCGTTGTCGATTGCCAAGTGCAAATGGTCGCACATCGCAAACAGGGACCGGTGCTTCCCACCCTCGTTGTCACGATCAACGATAAGGAGCGAAAACGCCGTTCTAGCAGAGCTGGAGGCCTAATCTCAAGCAAAGAGCCCAGTGCCACAACACTCTGGTTCAGAACCCCTCCAGACGACCACCACATTAGTTTGCATGAGTGGGCTCGCTTCATCTTGATGGAGATGAAGAAGACAGCTCCCATGACAGCCCGGCGTCGCCGTCTTTTATCAACCCG